TTCTTCTTCTTCTTCTTCTCTCTCTCTCTCTCTCTCTCTCTCTCTCTCTCTCTCTCTCTCTCTCTCGACAATTAGTCGGCCATTCGATTCCACGGAAACGAGCGTTTTCCTTCCAAATATCGAATCGATCGTCGGCCCACAAAGAGGGAGAGAGAACCGATATTTTCGCGGGGAACAATGGGAACGACTTCTGTGACCGCAAACGGAACCTTTCGCGTGCAGACATTTCGTTCTTTTACGAGTTCCACTTCCACCACCACCACCACCACCGTGAAACTTCGATCGTATCCCACCGACGACCGATTTTCTCCGCATAATACTCTGGGACCGCGGGCAACCGCCATGGTGACAGCCAGCACAACCAGCTCTCCCTTTCTGTCGGAAGCCCGTTTATTGTCGGAGATGGAATAAGGTTTTGCCGAGCAATTTAAAAATAGCTTCAACGATTCGATGCCGCGAATTTTTTTAATAAATCTGTTAGACAGTGGTTCAAAAAAAGAGTGTAAATGTAGATAGGCGAATGTTATTAACGAAGGCTGGTAAGCTAGCAATTTCTAGCAAATTCTTTGATTATTATTTATTGAAATCGTTCTTCCATCTAGTTTCTTACTAGCATCTCATCATCAAGCAAGTTGGATAACCTTGCTAATAAATTCACTAGGAGGCCCCCTCAGTTTTGTGTAAATACACGATGTATACGCGATACATCTTAATATAAGGTAAAAAAAGAATATTTTGATAAAATGTATATATAATTCAATTATACTATTACTTAATAATATATAAAAATAAATAATTTAATTTAATTAAAAAAACGAATTACAAACGTAGTTTATTCATTCATGTATTAATTTCTTTTTATTTACAATTATGAATTTAAATAATGCTTTTATTCAATTAATTATGATTAATTAAAGCTTCAAATAAAATTGCAAGATTAATTTATTATTTAATTCCCAGGATATTTCCAGGATATTTTTAACAATCATTTCTTATCTTAGACCAATTTTGTGAAAATCTCCATATCATGAATGTTAATTACGCTACATTTCTTCGCGAAAAAAGAAGGAAAAGAAAGAGAAACAACTAATCAACGATCGATTGGCGTACTATGATATTAACGCCAAGATCTAATCTAAGATCGACAATTTCGCAGGTCTATTATCGTCACGATAAAAACGCGAAATTCCATGTATAGCAACGCAATACGTCGATCCGATTTTCACCATTAAACCTGCCTAATTGCTACCTTTCTGAATCTAATTCCTTCCCGACTCTAAATACGTTTTCTCAATTGTAACTTTTTTTTTTTATTTAAACTCTGTTGTCGCCGATGGAATTATCTCGAAGCGAGGGAGAAAGTTCTCGCGAGAGAAGAGAGAGAGAGAGAGAGAGAAGAAGGAAACATCGCGGAGAACGAAGCATGAAATTGTATCTATCCACGTCGAAAGGTATTCCGCGTAATTGCATCCGCTATCATATCGTTACTCTTCCGAATTAACAAGAAACTGTACGAACATGTTATCGATACAGGAGGAGAAGATGGAGGAGATAAGGGAATCGGAACGGGGATAGATCGAATCAAATGCTAGCCGCACTCTCCAATTACCGGTGAATCATGCTCGGAATAAAACTGAATCGAGAAAAATCCTCGACCTAATCAAACGATTTATAAGTGTGTGTATGTGTGTGTGTATTCGCGCGTCGAGACGATGAACTTCTTCCTACAATTGGCCGAATTAATTCTTGGCCAATTACGATTGGTTATTATGGCGATATTTTAGGAACAAACTTTCTAACTTTTTACCTAATAATTACTTTGAACGTTCGAATGTAAATTATAAATACGAGTATAATTCGGATCTCGATTGAACGAATGAATGCAAATATTGCGAATATAAGCGAAGAAAAATATGAAGAGATCATTCTTTCTCGAGTATTCTTTATTATTTTGCTTCTATATCTAACATCCTGAACTAAGATTCTTTGCGCTTTTAACCGCAAAGAATCGTAAAATATTCCTTGCCCAATCTAATATATCTAAATCCATTTCTGAAAAAAAAAAAAAAAAAATAAGAGATCCAATTCGAAATTCTAACCTAAAGACTCTAAGATTTATATCCAAGGCATCCTCTTATTTTTCATCTTTTTTTCTTCTCTATATCGTTTACAGTTCAACCTAAATATTCCAACGTTCCTCTTCCAAATCGCAAATTTCATAAATCCACGCAAACGTTTTCCACGAGCCTCTATCCAATTCCACTTTTCAAAAAAAAAAAGAAATATGAGAAAAACTTACTTGAGATTAGAACCGAAATCTTCTTCTTTCAGGTCAGAACTTTAAACTAGCAGCCAAGATGTTCTTCTCTCGCTTATTTTCTTCCTTCCATATCGCTTGCAGTATCACGATTTTTCACGGTCGCGCATTTTACTTCGCGAAAAGTCGCCGCGACAAACACTCGGCGACTCCACCGGTAATCGTATTATCGACCGAGTTGGACCGATGCACAGACCAATCAGGTGCACGGACGACGATCACGAGGGCTAACCTAAAACTCGTTACACACATCCATCGAGCGTGCAACCCGGTCGTCGATTGATTTCGAGGTTCGTTCTATGTGTAAACACTTGTTTCAGTTTCATTTCACGTACGTTCCGTACGGCGAGTTTCGCGAGAATATCAAGTCGTTTCGATGATCCACTCGATGCCACGCGCGCGATACCCGGCCATCGATCCGGAATGGATCAACACTTGGGCGAAATAAACTGGCGCGAATCAAACGGGCCGTGTAATCGTTATGTTTCTTTGAGCGCGTACACCCTTACCCCCAATCCTTGTTATTTGGTTATCGATTATCCGAGATTGGTTTAAAACGATTCATAAATATGTATTAAACTGTTCGAAAAAAGAACTTTTCGCATTTTTCTCCTTCTCGTAAATCGACAGTTCTTAACCTCCGATCTGTGAAATTGTCCGATTGAATTTAAAATTTTCCGCTTTTTATTATAATTTTAATCGCGAGCGTAGTTCGATTAGTTCGATGATGCTTTTTTCTATTCTTTCTTAAACTTTTCTCCACTTCTTTCTTGGAAAACGTAAGAACACAAGATATATAATAGACCATCTTCATCCGAGTCTATTATGATTTCTTTCTTCAAGCAAACTCGATCAAATTTCTCGATTTCTTGATTTAGAAAAAAAGTTTTCTTAATATGACAAAGTAACGTAACATATCAAACCGGTCAGTTTCTGGCTAAAATATTTTTCAACATCAACATCATGAGAGATAGATCAATGCAAAATCCCCCTGCGGAAACCCACAACAACAACAACGTATCGTGTCCGACCGATCTATCAATAGGATTTTTCAAACCAGACATTTGCGGGCGTGTTCGCTCTCTCCCTCTTATTTTTTTTCTTTTCTTTTTTTATAAAACAACCTTCTCGACCACTCACGCGATGCCATTTAAACGGACGCCAGGATACGCTGTGTGCGTATACTCGATGCCCTTATTTTGCCACACTTCCTTTTTTCTTTCCTCACGTTGCAAAATCAAGCAAAGTTTATGCTCGATGGAGCGCGATCCCGCGGCATCTACGAGGAAAAAATGGTTGGAAAAATAAGGGGCGGGAGTGGAGAAGGTACGAATAAAAAAATTCGCGACGCTTTTAACGCGCCTTCGAGTCCCGCTTGTTCGTGGATAAATGTCGCGAGATTTTCGCCGTAAATTCGAACATCTTCGACGTTTTAAAAAAGGAAGCTTCCCTCGCGCCCCAAGTTGAACGAAATACGGGGTTACAGCTCCTCGAGGGGTAGTTGAGTCTTTTTTAGTTAATTCGTTGACACCCATGTTTCGTTAGGAAAGAAAGAGGCGACTATTTCCAAAGCAGATATTTCACCATTGTTCCCCAAACGCTGGAAATTTTCCAAAATTACGAAAGATGGAGAACAACTTTCTTTTATTATTATTATTAAACATCTACCGCAGAGAACATCTTCCCTCGTATATTTTTGTTGCCGTGTTAAATGTTAATTAAAAGCGGAAGTGGCTCGTTCCAGAGACGTTGCATAATCCTATACCTGGATCCATCGCGCCTAGATCGGAAGATACTGGCTCGCGGAACGTTAAGGGTCGGGAACACGCGCTCCTAGTAAATCTCGAACATTATGAATCTTCGTTTCCGCAAAATTGGTACGTTGTTTTCGTTCCACCACGTTTTTCTAACGAAACTCACGACACGCCAACACTGTGATCAACTCTATCGCTGTAATAAGAGGATCAGGCGCACGTGATGAATACACGCGCCGCCTAAAATCGAAATAATAATACGAGAGAGCCGGCCAGCCACGATCGGGTGCGCCAACGTTTTGGAAATATGAGAGAGAGAGAGAGAGGGAAAGAGAGGGTGTCGTTGCATGCACGTGATGTTTAGAAATTAATCTGCAGAATCTAAGGCAGAAATCTAGCTGGCTACACGTATCAATTAGTGTACCGTGTTTGTGAGGTCTGGTGGCTGTTGTGTGTTGCTGTTCGTGTCTCGCGTGCTGTCAGGGGGTGTGTGTTCTTGTCTCCCCGCCGTTGTATCGTGGGACTGCTTAGACGTTACCTCATTCATGTAGGACACCTCTGACAACGGGACGTAGTAGTAGCCCAGGAAACGATCCCACAGGAAACCCTTGCACCACACTTCGACCACGAGGCCCGTGTTCATGTCGTTCGTCTCGCTGCGAAATAAATAAAATAATAACCAGTTTAATCGTTCGAGCGATAAGATCGTTTCGAATTCGTCGGAAGAAGGATGGATCGATGGTTGGTTCAGAGAGAGAGAGAGAGAGAGAGAGAGAGATATGGAAGGAGGACGAAGATGGAATTTTTACACCGGCGCGTCATTAAAGATCGGATTACGTATTCCGAGACTGTGGGATCCAAGTTTAAACGTTGGACTTAGACTTAGGGGAAACAATTCGCCTTCGACTGACTGGAAAACTTAATTAGCCGGAAAGACTAGGCGGATCTTGGCTGACGGAAGATTCGAATCACGACTCGAATTCGACCGATCCTTTCCTTTCAAAACACGTGCCTTTCCTCGTTCTGTATTCGATCCTGTAACGCGTAATCGTTAAACAATACAAAATCGACGAATATCGACTCCACCTGATAATTCGCTTATTTAAACCTCTGATCGAGGTAAGTAAATTCGAAAAAGGGGAACGAACGAACGAAGGAACGAGCGCGATCACCCGATTCTTTTTCGCATCGATCGATAGGAGAGGCGTGGTAACAGCGTGTTGTTTGCGCGATCGAATCGTAATATTTTAAATCGAGATGCGGATCGATTCTTATTTTCGACAGAGGGAGGGGGGGAGGAATACGTTTCGTCGCGCAGGTTAAATAAAACACGATTTTAAATGGGCCGCGCCCGCGGAGACGGGGGGAGACGTGAAATGAAAAAGTAGGTTAAAGGTTCGCAACTTGGCAACTTGAGGATTTATAACGGCGCCAGTTAAGGATATTTCAGAAAGCTAAGATCCAAAATTCTTCTATTTTCTATCTTCTTGTCCCTCCTCTCCTTATATATTTTAGACGGCCGATCAATAAAGCTAGAGTAGTCGTGTGCCCCCTCTCTCCCCCTCCCCCCCCTCACACTCCACGTCCACTCGACTCGATCTTATTTCAACGAAACGAAAGATCTTTTCAGAAACGTAAATCCAGGTCTCCGGCTCCGGCTCTGTTTCTCGACGCGGGATACGAATTATGGGGGAGGAGGGGGAGGGGAGGGGAGGGGGGGGAGAGAGAGAGAGAGAAGAGAGAGAGAAGAAAATTGATTAGTTATTTGTTCGTCGAATCGTACGCGTGTATCGATACCGGATCACGTTCATAACGTTGCATAACTTGGCACAACTTGATAGATCTCGTTCGTCTTTGGAAATCTATCATGCGTATGCGAATCGTCCAAGTTGCGTGGAGTTTTCCTTTTTTTTTACGAATCACTCTCGTGTCGATTTCGATTCGTAACTTTTGTTCGTCCATTAAAATTTTGTTTCGTTGTTGAGAGTGTTGAGATTTTCTTCTGATCAATGAATACATCAGTATTAAGTGCAAGGTTTTTTTAATAACTCGTTTCGAATCGTTTTATGCAAAATCGAGAATAGAATTCTTTATTTATTACTGCGAGTTTTCATTACGTATGATGATCAATCTTCCAACCTTTGTGTGCATTTATAACCTCTCTCGTGAACATATTTCGTTCCATTCTTAACTCCTCCACAAAACATCTTTCGAATTGATTCTTTCTTCCTTTTTTAACCCGAATTTTTCAAACGAAACGATAAAAATACAACGACGAGACAAATTCACATCGACCCTGGTGAACGAAATCCCGCTCATCCACAAATACGACAGATTTAACAAAAACGCGTGTATAATTGTTTCCAGGACCGTTGTTTGTCGTTCTCGCCACTCCATCGTTTATTATCGAAATAAACAAACCCTTTTTTTTTTTTTTTTTTCAATGAATTTACACGAATACACGCTTCGTTGCTCGATATCGAAGATAAAATCACGAGCAAGAGAGAGAGAGAGAGAGAGAGAACATGATATTTTTCATTGAAGAACGCGAAAGTTGCCGGCGAGTAGAGCGAGATGCGAGAAATGGCGGGACCAGGGGGAGGGTGAGAAAAGAAGGGGGATGGAATATAAAAACCGGGCTAATAATAAAGAGCAGCCGCAAATACTTGAACGTTACAACCACCGTCGTCCCTCGTCTTTATAAATAAGCAGATCACAGATTCCGCTCTCTGTCCATATCCTGATAATACCTTGGAATGATGAAAGCTGCAACGGTTTAAAAAAAAAAAAAAAAAACCCGTAGGACAAAATTATTCCAAAGCGTAATTATATATAAGCTCGACAAAAAGCGAGAGATCGATAACTCGAACGAGAAAATATCACGAGATTGAGGGAAGGAAACGGAAGAAGGAACGGGGAGAGACGATTAAAACCGGAAACGCGACTCGTTAGATGGGATAATCGCTCATGGGTTTGGCTGCGCGCTTCCTTCTACGAGGTAATTTGAATTTTACGCTGTTTGTCATATTTTATTCGCGTTTTAAAGACAAGGAAAGGAAGAGGAACGGAAGAGTGTCGCTCGTTCCTTACGATAATTCATACGATGATCGAAAGTATGAGAAATAATTCGTATATATTCTCGTGAAATAAAACTTTCAAAAGGTTTAGAGTGAAGTTGGCTGGACAAACTCGAGCGACACTCGCGTGAAATTACTTTCCGAACAGCCCGATAATATACTTTCGTTTTTCCATTGATTAGAAAAACTTGCCCCATTGGACATAATTTTTTTATTACTAATTATATATATATCGAATTAAATTAGAAAGATTAGAAAGATCAGGATACTTACAAGAGAAAGTCTTGCTCCCAGCATGGATTGGCCCCTTTCACCGTGACTGTCGTCGACTTCACATTTTGCAGCTTCAGTGTTACGTACGAGTTGAATTGTTCCGCTGAAATCGGTTGCAAATCGGTCTTGAATCGTGTCCACCACCGCCCACGTAAAACCGTTGTCACCTCCACGAGCACGAGGAAGGTTTATGCGACTCCCCGATTGATCGTGCAAAGAGGACGTAAACCGCCCCTCGTAAAAGAAATCTGTCTCTCGCGGAAATGGAAACGTTGACGTTGATAAATAGGCCGGGCCACGGGGGGAGGGGAATGGAGGAGGAGGTATGGGCATCAAGGTATCGGCCGTGCATGGAGCAAATATTATTTACGATCGGATGAACCGGGATTTATACCGCGTTACCCAATAAATTAAACGTTCGACCAAGTAACGTTACGATGCAGCGGTTCTCAAGCGTTGAGTCGCGTGGGATGAGATAAAAGAGTAAATAATTTTTTTAACTCCAAATAATTCTAAATAAGATACGCGTGTCGAGGATAACTCGAGGGGATTTTTAACAGGGTTTTCGATAAAAAAAGAAAATACCGTTGCTATTTGTAATAATAGGTAATAATAGGAAATTACGATTGGAATGGAAATTATTAAGAAAGTAATAGAGTAGGGAGGAGAGATTAACGTTAGGGCAAATTATAATATCAATTTTGATTTTGAAGAAAATATGAAATCCGTCATTTTTCCGTTGTTCTAAGAATATTAAATAAATGAAGTGGGCAGTGATAGTTTCTGCTTTTGTTGGATAAAATTATTCGAGTCTTTGGTTCTCATTCGTTAAATTCATATTTGTGTTTCATCGAAAGATATAATGTGTTTTTTTTTTTTTTATAATTTCAGGAAAAGATTATTACGAAATTACATTTCTGTTATATATCCCCAGAGAATGAAACAGAATGAACACCTTTAATTTTAAAAATCTTTTAATTTTACCGTAACTGTCTGCCACGCGTTTGTATTATTAAATAAAATGCGAGCAATAACGACTCGAAAAATAACAAAATATTCCTGCGTCGACGAGGACACTTTTATTCCTCGCCAATTCGAGAAATCGTAGCTCGCTTTATAACGAATACCCTGAACTTTGTTACGATTCGATTCCGTGCCATTACAACATGGGACAATTAAAAAAAGTTATTTATAGAAATTGCCGACTTTCAAATATTTTCTATGGAATAGCCAATACGAGATAGAAAATTTAAGGAATAATCCTGGAAACGAAACGAACATGAGACTTACAATCGATTTAATTTTACAGCAAATAAAGATTGAATGTAACAAAAATAAATGTCATCTCGTTTATCTTTACGTACGTTTTTCCTGTCGAAGAAAATCCGTATATAAAATAATCGTTGGCGAATTTATCAAGTGTTCTATATGATTAAAAAGCGAAGAATTATTACTAACGTGTGGATATCGTTCGATAATCTGTTTAGCAAGCCGCTGAAAAAGTGTCTATAAAGTATCGTTGAATCGATATGAGAAGGCACGAAAGTATATAAAATTGTAATATTATTTCGATTCGAATCCGATCGTTTCTCAATTTACCATGGATACAGACATTCCTGGAAAACGGGGCAGACGAACCGTAAAGGTCTATAAGCTTCATCCCTGTTGTCTGTCTATGAATATATACATAGGCTGCAAACTCTCGATAAAAAGCAAGCGTCTCGATTTTACGATGCGCTCTTCGTGCGCGACTTATATGAGAATAGAACTTTTAGCCAATGAAGTCGTTATCTTCGTAAACGCGGTGATCTGGTTTATTCTAGATACTCAAATCATTAATATACGATTTAAATAATTGGAATAGAAACATACGAATTAAATGATGTTAAATAATTTAATAATAGAAATTATGTCGTATATGCATCTTTATCTAAACTTTAATTCATTTATCATTCGATAAACTATATTTCTAATAAAAACTGCATAAAAAAAAATAGGATGCAAAGAATAATTTCTATTCTTTGTAACAAAAAAAAAAAAGAAAAAATAAAATTCAGTCAAAACATCTTAAAATCATTTCTCATGAATAAAATATCGAAAAGCAGAGGGAATTTTCATTATCGAGGAATATTTAATTACGTTTAACGTGATTGCTACTCGATGTGTTATTAATGATAATTACAGCGGCTGTCGCTCAATGTCGCACACATGAACACGAGCCTGGACCATTTCGCATGATTGAAACTCTTGTTACCGTCTTATTTCATCCGTTTCCAGTCCTATATTGTCACCACGAAGAATGACTCGCTCTGATTTGCGCGATATATGGCACGACACGCCGACGTTCAAAATAATTCCTCACACGTTCGTTCGGGTTGAGATGAATTTCTTAATTTAAGAAGCATAAAAAGCGAATATTACTGAAATGAACAACCGTAAAGATGTGATAAACCATGTGATTGTTTTAATCTTTACGATCTTTGTAACGTGCTTGTTCGTTAGTTAAGATCAATAATGATTGTAATAATGCTAGAAATATAAGAAAAGGATTGAAAATGAAAGAATTTTAGCAAAAAGTTGAAAAAATTGTTATAATTTTTCACCTTGTCTTATATATCTATACAAAACACAAAATTCTAAATTTTAATTCACTCTGTCCCATTGTACTATTATTACACTTTATTTGTTAGCATTGAAAGAAGATCGAAAAATAAAAATTAATATAAATAGAAAAAGTGAAACTTGTAATAATTAACATAAACTATTCGAATTAAACGACGTAGAAGCCAAAAATATAATTTTATGTGGAATAGACGATCTAAGAGAACAATGAACTTGCTGAAGGAGGAAGTTTTAAGATTCACAGCACGAAGGATAGGCAAGTGTAAGAAAACAGATCTTTTTGAATTCTGATATCGAACAATTCAGATAAGAAAAACAGGATTCAAATAGCTTGGGACTCGTGCAACTGCATACAAAGATATTCGGGTCTGCGAACACGGATAAATTTTTCCTCGTGATGTATAGCAACATAACCTAACTTTACAACACGTGTAGAATGAATTTAAAAAAAAAAAAAAAACATAACATAACATATATAATACACTCATAAATGTAGGATCCAAAGATTATCAAATTCTGAAGAACTGATTTGGCTACAGAATCCATCTGATTTTATCAACTATATATATATATTATTTGGCTTCAAGATAACTTTAAACTTAAAAAAAAAAAAAAAAAATCACGCGGAATGATAAGAAAAGAGGAGCCACTCATCACTTACTGCAGATTGAATCCACTTATTTCTAATTGGATCAAGAATCCACTCAAGATCGAAAACAAAGCATAGTGCCAAAATCTATTTGTATCGAGGAACATTTTGGTTCTATATATCGTTCTAATTTATGGTTTGTTTGGTGTCAATAGCCTCCAACATCCAAGATTGAAGCTAGAGGGTGTTTGTCACCCAGATTAACAAGAATCATTAGCAAGTCAAAGACTTGCTTTATGAAGAGCACAATTGATCTTGAATACAAATAGTAAGTTCTAGAATAAAATGTGGTGGATGCTTGAATAAACTAGATAATTAATTTAACGTAATTATGAATCTTGAGGATGAAGCGAGAGATTGGGAAAAAAAATTTTCAAATTAAAGTAAACACTTTCGGAACAAGGAGAGAATTTTTACACCAAATGCTTCTTATTGTCGATAACTTTAGATAGAGGAACTGCATTTGAATCTTGGGATCAAATAAAAGCGTTATTGTAATATGTTTTATATGTTAATAACTTGAGACAAGATTGAATTAAACGAACTATCGAATAGTGATGTATTTGAATCAAGGGACGATAAGAAAATTTTGGAATTAAGTAAATACTGTTGGAGTAAAGGAAGCTTGGCACGAAATACGTCTTACTGTTCGTGCCAAGTTATTTCTAAGACATTCGATGGAACCTGAAAATAGGGATCTAGATATATCTACGTATATCTGCGAAATTTCAATGTGAAACTCGTGTTACGATATTGTTTGAACAATGGGTATCATAGAATATGAGAGAACAGGGTTCTTGTATCACGTGGAGTAGCTATTTTGCTTTTATAATGCATTACTTCTTTTGTTCTGCCTGTCACCTGGCACAAACTTTTTTATCGCGACAAACTTTTCAAATGTCGGCCATTATGCATAGCTTGCCACTTTTTTAATATTACTCTTCCCCTATTTCGGTATATAACGCGCAACTTTTTAGTTGGCTAAATATACGCAGAATCACACTTTTTCCCTTCGCACCAACTCTCAGTTCAGTTTTTCTTTTTTCAATTCACTCACTAAACTTTGCGTTACAAGCCCCGACAGCGCATTTTTCCCAATTATTTCATCATTTCGATTGTAACAGAAATAATTCTGCTTCCTCATTAATACATAAAATTAACCGAATCGAAACGTTATTCTCTATTATTCTTAAAATATATTAAATTTTATACGCGAGCCAACGTCTCTACTTTAAAAATCGACAAACGCTATTGTAAAAAGAAAAAGTGGATGGGTCATTCACATGGCGTCGTTTCCGAAAAACACGCTTGATACGAACTTACCCAAAGCCTCAAGACTCTTCTCCATTAACAGGAAGTGGAAAGAATGGCGCGTAACAACAAGCAAATTGCTTGGAATTGAAAAGTTTAACACTAAACCTACCGACATTTCATGTATACATGAAATCCCTACCATGAGCGGTCAAATGACAGCTGCAAAAAAACATTTGTACCTTAACATAAAAATAGATTTTAGCTAATTGGATATTAAACAAAATATTTTTCTGGTGCTACAATAATGGGTGATCGATTATATCTACACCGAATTTTGTGCTATTGTAAAGTCATATGGCGGTACAGTAACTTTGTATACAGAGAAATTCTAAAGGAAATTTCAAAAACGGTCATTTGACCGCGCCTGGTAGGTTTAGTGTTAAACGCGTTGTAGAGCATCGTAAAAAAGACTCGAATTGAGTTTCCAACTGGAATCGCGTGACGGCCCCCTTCCTCTTTTCGCGATACACGTAATCGCCATTAGCCATTCCAATAACGAAACGGCATAGAATAAGGAAGATCACGATCTGAATTTGGGAAGAAAGTTGCGATCGGTTGTATTACGAGGCATTTGATAAAATAACTCGCGGAGCATGGGTTATTCGCGTGTTGGAAAACAAAGATCGGTGAAGAAGGGAAAAAGAAGAAAAGGAAGGGAAGGAAAGAAGGAAGAAGTCGGGACGAACGGTCGCCGTGGAAAAATTATTTCGGCATGAACAAGAGCATCGCGATATTCCGGTTGAGGGGAGTCGCATAACCTTTAACTTGGAACCGTTCCAATCGGTGTGCAACAAATTTTGCGCAAAACCTCAGAACTGGAGCGTGAATAAGGGCTTCTCCCGCGTATCGATCCGATTTTCCAATTTTTCCTCTCGAAACGATCGAAAGACTGAGAACTCCTCTCGCCATTTTCAAATTTCTTGATTCAACTAGTTACGAGTTAAATGAAATACGATCGAGGAAATATTAAGCAAAGCTGGAACTTGAACTCTTCTATTTGAATGGCACAATTTTCACGCTCGTGGAGGTGGTTTCAGGAACGATCCGAGAAGCGACTGGACGATTAATCGTCGTTCCTCGGTTTCGCGCCCCGATCTCGATCGAATCTCCTCCTCCTCGCTTCTCCTCTATCAGGGATACGAACCTTCCTCGCAGACGAACCGCGCTTTCTTCACTGAAACAGAAAGAGAGAACACCGCGTGAAACGTTGTTGTTTATTATTATTATTATAATTTGTTAAAGGATTGTTAAACAATTATAAACAGTTTCACTCCGCTCGATTTCGATGAATCAATTGCCCGCGCACAAAGCGTGACGTCCGGGATTGAAAGCGTGCTCTCTGCCCTCGATTAAAAGCATACGCACTTTCGGGATAATTAAAGCGAGAACTGGCTTATTCCACTTATTTGTCTTCTGAAAGGGTACACACCTTAGGGGTGTGCGTCCTAAGATATTTACAATTGCTTTTATTATTAGGGATAATTTCATCTTTTTATTATTCGTTCGATTGCATTACCTTTCGAATCCTTGCCATTTGAAAATTTTCCAATTTGAAAAAAAAACGTACGAAGCATCGATTCGTCGATCACAAATGATGAATCTTACGAAATTTTCTTTCGTTGTTCTTCTATACACCAATTTTTTTTTTTTTAATGTACTTCATTCAGTTGAGACGCTGGGAAGCAAACAGTTAGCAAAGAGGAAGCAAAGAGCTCAGTATTCAAGGCTCAAGAAAATAGGCGGCCACTTTTAAACGCATCCCGAAGACACATACGCGGAAATTGAAGCCGGCGAATTCGATTTCGACGTTCCACGATTTTCCATCGAGCATCCACCGATATCTGAATAAATCAATTCGCCGCAATTCACGTGTGACACTTCAACGACAATGAGGCCGCCTTGAAACGGCTTCCATATATGCATTCGCGTACAGGACAGATAGGGACTGAACACACGCTGCTGTTCGATCGAACCGTTCGAACGCGGGAATTCAATTTCTTCCGGAGAGGAGAGAACCGGTAAACGACGTATAAAACGCACTTGACCGACCCCCAAGGAAAGGAAAGAACGCCAATGTCCGGTTATTATCGTAACCAAGATTTATAATTGAAGGATTTTTAATTCGAAAATGACGTTCTCGAGATTGCGTATTTCACTCTTTTAGCTCTTTGAGGAATCGATTGTTTTCGAAAGTGTTTATAAGTGTTGAAAGATACTTTGGAGATATTGAGAAAGAAGAATTTTGAAATATCGAGAAAAGGTTTGATGGAATAGAGATTTAATAAAATAGAAAAAATTTTAATTGATTCCACTTTCGAAATATTTGATTCGTTATTTTTATTTTTACTGGTCTATTAATTGTCCAAAAATTTCGAGGCATTATAAATATATCATTTGTCCAATCCGATCTTTTTATTAATTTGTTATTATATCTTTGGCAAGATATTATCCCCTTAAAGATGAGAAATTTTATCTTATAGTAATTTATATACACAATAAAAGTGATTTATTTACGAAAAACGATCCTGGATTGAACTTTGAAAAAGTTACGCCTACGCACAGACCTTTATGTTATTCGAAGAGAAGTGTGTTATCTGAGCATACTGTACATTCTGTAGTTCCAAGCTTCTCCTACCAGCAACATTATTTGTATATTATCACAGTAGGCGTACAACTTGGAATTCCCAACTTCTTCTCCTACCTGTTGAAACCAGGATACGAATAACAAGATATAATAATAACGAAGAAACAGCCAATTCCAAGTGAACTTAAGATCAATATCAAGATCAGGCTGTAGACAACTAAGTTTGAAAAGTGAATCCGTAAAAAAGAGGGAGTTAAAGTGTGCCTGACATTTGACCATTCCATAAAGGTCCATCGTTGAATCGATCCATGGAAATGTAAATTCGCCACGTGTCGCCTTCGCCGTGTGTATTAAAAGGTATCGTGTTTCTTCCGTTGTTGAATCAAATTTTACGTTCGAATTTCCGCGAATATTATTCTTTCGATCGAATTGATTTTCCTATAAAAAATTCATCATTTTAATTTCGAACGTATAAAATTTTATTTTATCCTCCGTTATTCACGATTCGAGATTTAATTGCGTGAAACATCCCGTTCAAACTTTGCCATTTGATCGGTAAAATTGTGCGCGAGAACGCATTGCGTGACGTTGTTGATCGATAATAGGGAGCTGTAACATTGTTGTTTCGACATATTTTATCGAACAATAGAACCAACTGACAGCTTGATTAGACTTAATAAGATTCAAACAGACCTCTGGATCCACAAGTATCCACGCGTGAATTGTAATATCGATCGGAATAACATATAATTGTTACGGACAGAAAAGAATCGTGTGACATGGGAGCTTTACTTGCTGTTATCACTTTAAACATTCCGCTAAATTTCGAATAAAAAATCAATAATTTCACGCAAGTTGATGGAACAATTGCATTTTACAAAGATCATGGATACTTTTAACAAATCTTTAAATCTATAATAATATAATTTTTCAAAAAGTAAATGATTGATTAAATACAAAATAACCTGAACAATTCGAAAGAAGAAAACAATTTAAATCCCAAATATCTCGTAAAAACCTGGAATAAATACTTGATCCTTTTGCTGTTATCAATTTAACATTCAGCTAAATTTCGAATAAAAAATCGATAATATCAAGCTGATAGAACAATTGGATTGTACAAAGATCATGGATACTTCTAACGAATCTTTAACTATAAAAAAATAATTTTTCAAAAAGTAAATAATGATTGATTAAATACAAAATAACCTGAACAATTCGAAAGAAAGTAGAACAATTTAAATGCCAAATATCTCGTAAAAAAATACTGAAATAAATACTTAAAATACTAATCCTTTTGCTGGTATCAATTTAAATTTCGAATAAAAAATCGATAATATCAAGCTGATCGAACAATTGAATTGTACAAAGATCATGGATACTTCTAACGAATCTTTAACTATAAAAAAATAATTTTTCAAAAAGTAAATAATGATTGATTAAATACAAAATAACCTGAACAATTCGAAAGAAAGTAGAACAATTTAAATCCCAAATATCTCGTAAAAACCTGGAATGAATACTTAATTTTGTTCACAACAGCGATCAGAAAAAAATAATAAAATAAAAACGCACACGAAGGATAAAAATTAAAAGTTCCGCGAACTCGTTCAACTCGAATCGAATCTCTAACATCCACCCCTTCGTGATCCTAAACAAGCATCACAAATATCGAAGACACAGAAACTCCCGTCTGAAGTGTAAATAAGGGTCTCTAACCAGAGACCAGAAACGCACCATTTTTACTTTTAATAGAGTCTTTTAAAACCAGAAAAGGTCACGAAGCGACCCGTTACATTATCAACCCCCGTTTACACGAGGGTGCCGTGAGTTCCCTTACATCGTGCGTGTAGATAGAGGAACATTTAAAGCAATGACCTGTGCTAATAAATGTCAGACAACGGGCTGGAAATCCACGCGATTTAAGCGGAACGGGTTCGTCAAATCGTTCGTCATGGCGCGCGCACGACGAATGTGCAATCGGAATGGCGGCGGGACGATAATTGGCCGTATTTATCCCGTCATGCGAAAAAGTGTTCTTCTGTGTTAACGGTCGAGGGACGGGTTCTTCCACCTTTTAATGGAGCTTCCACCGAATCGATTGCGCGTTTTTCGTTGCGGGGGGATGTTTTTATGCAGACGAGTGATGGAGTGAGTAATGGTGATCGAGTACGAAATAAGTTGGTCAAAGAATATTGTCGAGTGTAAGCGGGGAAATTAATCTTGTCAAGATGGAGGGTAATAATAGAAATATGTTTATATAAATATGTAAAATATCGTGAAAATTAATTTTGAAAATATGGAAAATCGATTTTGACGGAACGTTATTTTGGATCATTGTTGGATAAATCGAGCACGAATTATCGAGTCTGATAAAAATTTTTATGCATTTAATGGAGATGGAGATTCATATAGGAGGAGCGATAGTGATCGAGCGTAGGATAAGTCGGACAAGTCGAAAAGAAAACGCATATCCGTCGAAGTTGAAAGCAATTTCAATTCAATGTATATAGTTTTGCATCTTTATGTTTCAATCTCGCCATTTTTAAAAATAACGTAAATTATACGTTTAAAAGTATTGCAACAAGGAGAAGAAAAGTTGGAACATGGATGATACAGTGCAGTAGATGGGAGCCAAATCTACCCTATTTAAAATATAAATTTCGCGAGCTCGATCTAGATAGGAAAATGAATGTGTCTCAAAAATACGGGATATCATCTCGTTACAATCTTAACATTTACGAAATACTAAATTACTTTCAAAAATTACGTACCAGACAGAATTAAAATTAATCTTACTAAAATTATTATTAAAATTCTCGTAATCTGAATAAATTGTATAATATTTGTAACGATGAAATTCGCCGACACAACGATCGAAACGTAGTTCAGTTTAGCATAGTTCGTTAAAATAACGTGTTTCATACGTGTTCACTAATCGTACACCGAAAAATCTCGATACTAATTCCTAACCCAATTTCTAGCCAGTGGTACACGTGGTACTTTTGAAGAACGTAACAACCAAGTTTTCACACGATTCCTGGAAATCTTAATTTCCCAAGCGCATGAAAGCCGAGAGTTAACAATGGGAAGTTTCGTTCGACTCTATCGATCCGTTTTTGCCATTAAATTTTTCGTGTCAAACGCTTTCATTATTTGCCTTTAGTTGTCGTGCATTCCTTTTTTAACACGAGATTTCTTTCTTTCTTTTTCTTTTCTAGTGAATATGAATAATTCAACAGTTTATTATATTGATGTGAAACTAACAAAATATTCTTTTCGACCAACTACTGTGGGGATAAAAATTCATCGCATATTGTTAGGAATCTTGGTATAAAAGCAGCACCGATGACCTCGTAAGAGAAATAATTTAAAACGGCTCGTGCACGAGTTTCCGTCACGACTGTGTACTCGAAGTTCGTGACCAGTCCACTGCCAACAGGTGCATATCATTTAATTACCTTCTCTTTTCGAAATTAATTATTCTCGGCCGCTTAAAAATACCAGGACTTCCTGTACATGATGCCGTTTGATAGCTACACAGATTGGCGGGCAGCCAGATACGATTGAAAACCCAATATGGAAAAGGA